AGTTCAAAAAATATTGAGGAAGTATTTAGACTTTCTATAATGAGAAGGTTTTACAGGAAGCAAAGTAGCCTATAACATGGGTCTGAAGGGTCACACAACCTTCAGAGGGTTGTCAAATTAGCATGCTGCCTCAAACTAGTATCTTCCTCTGTTCCATTGATACTAGAAATATTCTCCTGATTTTAGCACTTAAAGTTCTCTGTCCCTTCTGCTCATTCCCAAAGACTGAATTTGCATACAATGGGCTTTTTTTTTTTTTTGAGACAAGGTCTTCTCTGATACTCAGGCTGGGGCGCAGTGGCATAATTAAGGCTCACTGCAGCTTTGACCTCTGGGCGGAAGTGATCTTCCCACCTCGGCCTCCCAAAGTGCTAGGATTACAGGTGTGAGCCACTGTGTCCAACCAGTTGCTTGTTCAGGAGAACAAACAGGTTGGCCTTGGTCCAGGAAAATTATATTGTTTCTAGTCCAGTCTTCATAGATAATATCTGATGGGTCTCTGTCATTTGAAATAGGAGATGCTGGCCTTATCATATAGCTGACTCCTCCCCAGGGTACCTGCTAAATTCCTATTGGCTATGCCTTTGTTGGTCCTATATTATCATTATCTGTAAGCGGAATATAGACATCTTTCTCAGTGTAAAAAAAAATCAGAAAAACCACTACTGTGATTCCCCATTATCCATGGTTTTGCTTTCTGTGATTTCATTTACTGTGGTCAACCATGGTCTAAAAATACTACGGTATTTTGAGAAAAAAAGACCACATTCACATAACTTTTCTTACAGTATATTATTATAATTATTCTATTTTATTATTAGTTATTGTTAATCTTTTACTGTGCCTAATTTATAAATTAAACTTTACCATAGATATGTGTGTATAGGAAAAAAATAGTGTATATAGAGGGTTTGATTCTATCTGCAGTTTCATATATTGACTGGGGATCTTGGAATGTATCCCCAGCAGATAAAGGGGGACTACTCTATTTATAACCTTCTAACTATTTTTACTTTTACCTTTTCATAATCTTGGTTCTTAATCACCAGCTGAACTATGTATATTACAATCAGATCTTTCTATCTGCATGCCCTTTATCATGGGCCATTCTTGGTTCTATCTGACCATCTATGTTTTGTTGAATACTCCACACTGGAAAACTATTTATAATAATAGCAAACATCTGAGCATTTGCTTTGTGCATTGTTCTAAGAACTTTTATAAATATCATTTATCTCATTTCATATGCATAATAATTGCAGGTACCATTATTACCCCTTATATATAAGAAAATAGAGGCATAGGAGGATAGTTTATTTAATCTGTGAAAATTTTCGATGATACTTCTGTGAGAAACAAAGATGAAATTATGTTAAAGAGCTTTGTAGTAAGTAAAACGAAGTACAAACATTGTACTGTTATCTGCTTCATAACAAGGCTCAATGAATGTTTGTTGAATGAATGAATGAATGAATGAGTAAATATCATTACTGGGTTGCACTGTGTCTTGTGAGGGTAGAGTCCTCAGAATAATGTAAAGTGTAAATACACCAAGTACTGTGTCTGTAACTCAGTCGTTACCCCAACCAACATATACTAGTTTCCTTCTTCTCCTTCCCTTTTCCTGTAATTTCACAATCAAAATGACTGTCTGATTGAGTATCTTTAAAAGGTCGTGATGAATTATTCTGTAATATTTGAAATGTTATGTTCAGAAAGGTCAAACTTTATTTTTCGGTATGAAGTGTCACACGGATTTGTTTTTCCTGGACACTTTTTTTTTCAAAGAAAAGATGGCAAGAAATTTAGAGCAGGGTGCCCTCTTGAGGAAATTTTAGCATCTTCCTTCTCAAGAACTGACATCAAATGAAATGAGAAGTCTAGATAAATGATGTACACTATTAATGAAGCTCAGAAAAATGAAACATTAAAAAGTAAGAATAACCAAATACCAGGTATTTGAGAATTAAGATTCTTAACTGTTATGATCTAATATAGCAACTGTAAATAAGAATTTTTATTATTATTTATTTATTTATTTTTAATTCTTTTTTTGAGACAGAGTCTCACTCTGTCACCCAGGCTGGAGTGCAGTGGTGCAATCTCAGCTCACTGGAACCTCTACTTCCTGGGTTCAAGATTCTCATGCCTCACCCTCCCAAGTAGCTGGGACCACGGGCTTGCACCACCACACACAGCTAATTTTTTGTGTATTTTTAGTAGAGACAGGATTTCACCATATTAGCCAGGCTGGTCTGAAACTCCTGTGATCTGCTCGTCTCGGCCACCCAAAGTGCTGGAATTACAGGCATGAGCCACCATGACCAGGCTTGTAAATAAGAATTTTTAAATGAAAACAAAAACCTCTAGAAGATATTTCATTTCTTCTTATTTACTCATTTCTTCAAGTAATATTTATTAGGCACCTATTCTGTGCCAGGAACTATGCTGGGCACAGGGATCAATAAAACATGGTCTCTGCCTTCATGGAGCTTACAGTTTGTGAGGGAGCTCACACAGAAGAGAAACAAACAAATATATATGTAGTTACAAACTGAGAAAAGTACTGTGAAGGAAATGAATAGGTACTAGAATAAAGAATAACAAAGTAAATTCTATTTAGGGTCGTCAAGGGAAGCCTCTCTGAGAGGAAATATCCAGTAGAGTCCATTGGCTTTTCCACCTATTCTAAGTCTTCCCATCTAATATAGACAGTCTACAGATCCTCTTTCCTAGCCATAGTCTTTCTTATCTTCTCTTATCTCTGCCCCTGTGGTGGACTGAGTCAGTCCCATCTCTGCCCCTGTGGGCAAGCAGTTAGTTCTGAGTAGTCCTTGTGCACCTCACTGTCACTCTAGTAATCGTGCCTTACAGCAGGGATGTCCAGTCTTTTGGCTTCCCTGGGCCACATTGGAAGAAGAATTGTCTTTGGCTGCACATAAAATACACTAGCACTAACAATAACTGATGAGCCAAAAAAAAAAAAAATGCAAAAAATCTCATAATGTTTTTAGAAACTTTACGAATTTTTTTGGGTCACATTCAAAGCCATCCTGGGCCGCATGCAACCCGGGTGCCACGGTTTGGACAAGCTTGCTGTAGAGCTGCACATTCTTCACAGTGGGTGGTCTGCTTGATTAAAAAATGTCTTCCAGGCCGGGCGCGGTGGCTCACGCCTGTAATCCCAGCACTTTGGGAGGCTGAGGCAGGCGGATCATGAGGTCAGGAGATCGAGACCATCCTGGCTAACACAGTGAAACCCCGCCTCTACTAAAAAATACAAAAAATTAGCCGGGCATGGTAGCGGGCACCTGTAGTCCCAGCTACTCGGGAGGCTGAGGCAGGAGAATGGCGTGAACCTGGGAAGCAGAGCTTGCAGTGAGCCAAGATCACGCCACTGCACTCCAGCCTGGGCGACAGAGCGAGACTCCGTCTCAAAAAAAAAAAAAAGTCTTCCTTACTAATATTGATAGTCCCTCATAGGAGAACATCAATGCATTATCATGCTAAAAGGGCCCACTTCTAACAAGGTTAAGGATGACAAATGGACAAATAATCCTGCCTGCCATTATCCTCTGAATAGGGAGAGATAAATAGGCACAAAGTAGGCCGAGAACTTGATCAAGCAATACTGTTTGATCCCACTGCCCTTGAAATATCTGAGGTACCAAGCACATAGAAACCTTCAACTGGAAGTAAAAATGAGGAACTAGACCTGAGAAAAGAGCCCAGAAGAACAATTTTTAGAGTCTTACTTTGTTCAAAGCTCCCATGTTACACAAACTTACTATGTAATGGTTGGCCTGCCTCATTAACACTCTTGGTATGGCCCTTGTAGCTAAGCTTCTTTCTTTTCTTTCTTTCTTTCTTTTTTTTTTGAGACAGAGTCCCGCTCTGTCACCCAGGCTGGAGTACAGTGGTGCGATCTCGGCTCACTGCAACCTCCGCCTCCTGGGTTCAAGCAATTCTCTGCCTCAGCCTCCCGAGTAGCTCGGATTACAGGGGCCTGCCACCACGCCTGGCTAATTTTTATATTTTTAGTAGAGACAGGGTTTCACCATGTTGGCCAGGCTGGTCTTGAACTCCTGACCTCATGATCCACTCACCTCAGCCTCCCAAAGTGCTGGGATCACAGGTGTGAGCCACCGCACCTGGCCTGCTTCTTTCTTGAGGTGGGTTGATTCTACCAGATTGGAGGATTTAACTGACACGGAGAGTACTGCCTGCAAGTGGATGGGCCTGCCATGACTTCTGAGTTGGCATTTAGGTGACCATATGAGTCTGGTATCCAAACTTTGAATAAGCTGCTTCTACCTTAGTTGTACCCATAAATAGCTCTCTTTAAGAAAACTAATCATCCTTCCCTTATTAACCAGAGGGCCCTGAACAAAACATTTAACTTCTTTGAATCTCAGTTTCCTCACCTGTAAATTGGGATTTAACATCTCTGCTTATTTCACATTATTATACTTTGAGTATAAATAATAGGTAGTATGTTGGTCAAAATGTGCTGAAACTAATACACCTACACATTGCTGCTGTTAGATAGCAATTTGGAAAATACACCAAACACTAAAATGTGCAAACGTCTTTGACCCAACAATTTGGTTCCTGATAATTTATTCTTGTGAAACGATTAAGAAAAAAAATATGAAAAAAGATGTACATTGAAGCATTTTCTACAAAATAAAATATTAAAATATTCTAGATGTTAACAATAATAGATTGGTTAAATAAAACATGTTGCTTTTATTTGCAATAAAATATTGACCGGCCACTATGTGAATTATATTCATGAAAAAAGTTCTTGGAAGGAAACATGAAAAAAATAAAACAATTGATATCTGAGTATAGTGGAATTACAAACATTTTTCTTTATCAATTTCTCTGAATGTTGTTACTGTAGAAGAATAATTAGCATACTTAAAACATTTTAAAATTAAAAAAAAATTTGACCCCATAGTACATTTTTTTCTTATCATATCTTGTTTTTTATTTAGGGAAATTATCGTTTCGTGAAACTCTTACTTACACGCAGAGCAAACTGGATGCAAAAGGATCTGGAAGAGATGACTCCTTTGCACTTGACTACCCGGCACAGGAGCCCTAAGTGTTTGGCACTTCTGCTGAAGTTTATGGCACCAGGAGAAGTGGATACACAGGATAAAAACAAGGTAATGGATACTCAAAATCGAACACTAATAAGACCAGAAAGCAAATGCTTCCTTTTATGATGTGAAATTTCAAGGAAGAAGGCCTAAATTACCACATATATACATGGTAGAACAATTCCAAATCTCCATACATCTCAGGGAAGTGTTTCATTTCAATTCTGTCGTTTAATCCTCTCAGCAACCATGTGTGTTAGGTAGTATCATCTCCTTTTTACAAATGGAAAAACTGAAGCTCAGGAAGATTAAAATTTTGCCTAAGATGCAAGTGGCAGAACTAGACTTCAGATCTAGTCCTGTCAGCCGGGCATGTTGGCTCATGCCTGTAATCACAGCATTTTGGGAGGCCAAGGCAAGTGGATCACCTGAGGTCAGGAGTTCAAGACTGGCCTGGCCAACATAGTGAAACCTTGTCCCTACTAAAACTACAAAAATTAGCTGGGCATGGTGGTGTGCACTTGTAATCCCAGCTACTCAGGAAGCTGAGGAATGAGAATCACTTGAACCTGGGAGGCAGAGGTTGCAGTGAGCCCAGATAGCGCCACTGAATTCCAGCCTGGGTGACAGAGTGAGACTCTGTCTCAAAAAAAAAAAAAAAAAGTCTAGTCCTGCCTTAACTCCAAAACCCAACATTTGACAGGGAGTCATAATAGTTACTATAAGTGGTTAGACTCATGATAGCCAAATGCCCATGGCAATGTCCTAAGTGCATAATGGTTTAGTGGCCTACACTTTGGTATCAGACTTCCTGGGTTTCAACCCAGAATCCACTACTTAACTTGTTCTGTATCCTTGGGCAAATTGCTTAACTCCTCTGTGCCCCAGTTTTTATATGTATGGAAAAAGGATAATAGGATTACTGTTAGGTTCAGCATAGTATTGAATTTCAGTAAACAGAATCAGAACAAGTATAACATAGGAAAAGAAAGGAATTACATGTTGTTTATTGAAGATGTGGTTATAGGCAGTTAGTGAATGCTATTATACTTGTGGCTTTTTAAAAATCTGCAGTTGTTAGTAAGCAAAAGTAATAGGTTAAATAGTGACTGTTCATATTAAATGCCTATAGGTACATCTTGAAGGAATACCAGGTATATCAGTTTCTAAAGTTTTTAATGTGACAGGTGGGCTTGGTTCCTGCTCATTAAATTATCTAATTGTAGATTGGATTGCTGACAATGCTACTCATGAGGGCTGATAAAAATTTAAACAGTTCTTACATTTTTTCTTAATAATTCTTCTAATAGGGAAGCCAGTCGTATAGAAGTATGTTGATGAGAACAGCAGAAGAGATTTTAAAGCAACTTCAACAAGTTCAAGATGATCATTTTTAACTTTTATCTGAAATAAAGTGTGAACATTGTCAAAATCAAAATGGAGTTCTTTCTGTTTAAAACAACAACAACAAAACCTGACAGAGCCAGGGAAGGCCATAAAGAGAGGATTCTCGTGCTTGTCTGATTTAAAAAAAAAAAAAAAATCACAAACTGTGCAAAAACCACAGCCTTGCACAAAGGCCATCATAACCTTACACAAAAATTACTTCTTCAAAGACATTTGCCCAGCAACTGCCCTTCTAACCTTGCACTGGCATTATCTTTGTTATTGATCTTTGTAGCCAAGGATCATCATTTGAAAACAATTATGTAATCCTCCTCATTTTTCTTTTAAAAACTTTTGTCTTCCTTTACTTGAGTACACAGTTTAACAACGTCCTACTACCAGATACCAAATAAACATGATTTTCTTTCTTTTTTTTCTTTTTCTATCACCCAGGCTGGCATGTAGTGGTATGATCTCGGCTTACTGAAACCTCCACCTCCCGGGTTCAAGCAATTCTCATGCTTCAGCCTCCTGAGTAGCTGGGATTACAGGCATGCACCACCACACCCGACTAATTTTTGTATTTTTAGTAGAGAAGGGGTTTCACCATGTTGACCTGGCTGGTCTCGAACTCCTGACCTCAAGTGATCCACCTGCCTCGATCTCCCAAAGTGCTGAGATTACAGGCATGAGCCACTGCACCCGGCCAAACATTATTTTCTTTTAGAGAGACATTGTAATTTAGGTTGACAAAAGCAAGTACTGCTGTATTTTCAAAATGTATCTTTTTAGCAATAACTAGGTCTAATAATTTATCCTCTAAAATTGTAGTTAAATTAAAATGTATCTTCTGATATTTGGAATGGGTTCCAGATGCATATGCATGGATTTTTTATAGATATTAAAATTCAAAACATCCTATCAAGTTCTTAAGGTCCTTGGTGATAACCAGATGTGCATTATCAAGATCATCACTTACCTTGTTGATGATTATTTCTAAATGACTGGGCCGCTTTCTCTTTCTCTGTGTTATCAGTACCAGATGAACTAAATAACTGTCATGACTAAGAGGTCAGATTCTGGAGTCAGACTGCCAGGGTTAAAATCTCAGTTCAACCATTTACTTCCTTTATGTCCCTGAGCAGATTACTTAGGTTCCATGTGCTGTTTCCTCATCAATCACATGCAAATTTAAAAACATACTTGTCTCCCAGGAATAGTAAGATGACTGCATGCAATTAAATAGACAATAGTCTCCCTTGTTCAAAGGAAATATATTCCAACACCCCCAATGGATACTTGAAACTGCAGATAGTGTCAAACCCAATTCCCGTCAATAGGAACACATTTCTGTTCATGTCTTCCACCCACAAATTTAGTACTTTTTCCATCTTAACTAAGCACTTATCAGGCACTATGGCCATAATTTTTGCAGTTTGGTATGCAACAGCAAAATCATGAATTTCTTCTTCCTTCTTTACAGTTTCACAGATAGATTTGTTCTTACCACAGAGCTTAGCAAACTCAACAAATTTTTCTTATTGAGAGCTTTAACCTTTTCACTTAAAGGAAACACTTTATAGCTGCTCTTTGGCATGTCTGAATCACCAGTATCAATAATTGTGAGCTTTGGGGCCGTTAAGTAAAAGAAGGATGACTTGAACACAAGCACTGTGAATCTAATATCGTGACAATGAATGGGATATCTGAGTTGGCTGCTAGGTGACTAACTGGCAGGGAATGTCTACAGTGGGGATGTGCTGAACAAGGAAAGATTTGTGTCCCAGGTAGGATGGGATGGGATGAAGCACTCTTTCATCATGTTATTTAGAATGGCACACAATTTAAAACTTATAAATTGTTTTTTTCTGGAATGTTCTATTTAATATTTTTAGACTTTGGTTGAACACAGAGACCTGAAATCATGAAAAGTGAAACCAAAGATACAGGGGAACTACTGTATAAAACTCTTGTAACAGTGCCTGTCCCATAGTAAAAGCTTGGGGAAAGTTAGTTGTTGTTACTGTTGTTATTCTGAGAACCTCTTGATTTTGCAGCAAACAGCTCTGCATTGGAGTGCCTACTACAATAACCCTGAGCACGTGAAACTGCTCATCAAGCATGATTCTAACATTGGGATTCCTGATGTTGAAGGCAAGATCCCACTTCACTGGGCAGCCAACCATAAAGATCCAAGTGCTGTTCACACAGTGAGATGCATTCTGGTGAGTTGAATGGTACTGCTAGACCTGAATGGCCTTTTTAAGAAAAATTTTTATTATGAATTATTCAATATATACAAAAGCATGTATTTGACATACAAGTAAATTATTAAGCAAAAGAATACAACAGACATATGGACCCATCCCCCAAGAAGTAGAACATTTCAGTACCACTATTTAAGACCACATAGAGGTTTCCTATGTCCCAGTTTTTAAATGCATTCATTCCCCCTATGCCATGCTCATTCCTGTACCCCAGCAACTACTTCCCTGAATTTATAGTTATTTCCTTACTTTGTTTCATACTGTTTTTATTAAACGGTGAATAGACATAAGTATCAGCAAAATACATGTAAAATATAAATAATAAGGAAACAACAAATACTTATGTACTCACTATCAAGTTTAAGAAAAAGTATATTACCAGGCTGGGCGTGGTGGCTCACGCCTGTAATCCCAGCACTTTGGGAGGCCGAGGCGGGTGGATCACAAGGTCAGGGGATTGAGACCATGCTGGCTAACACGGTGAAACTCCGTCTCTACTAAAAATACAAAAAATTAGCCAGGCGTGGTGGTGGGCGCCTATAGTCCCTGCTACTCGGGAGGCTGAGGCAGGAGAATGGTGTGAACCCGGGAGGTGGAGCTTGCAGTGAGCCGAGATCGTACCACTGCACTCCAGCCTGGGCGACAGAGCAAGACTCCGTCTCAAAAAAAGAAAAAAAGAAAAAAGAAAAAGTATATTACCATTACCTTTTAGGTCCTCTGAGTGGAGTACCTCTCAGTCTCATTCTACTATCTCCTTTCACAGAGGCAACAACTGTCTTCAGTCTTGTGTTTATCATTCCCCTGATTTCCATTACCACATTTATTTGTATCCTTAAACAATATATTGCTCAGTTTTTAACGTTTTTGAATTTGATATACAAGGAATTATATTGCATGTTTTTGTTTTTGTTTTGTTTTGTTTTTTGCAAT